GGAATTCTCCAGGCCTGGATACTGGAGTGGGTAGCCGTTCCCTTCTCTAGGGGATCTTCCCGATCCAAGGATCGAACCCAGATCTCAATATTGTAAATCAACTGTGCTGTGCTGTGCTTAATCACTCAGTCTCGTCTGACTCTTTGCAACCCCATGGACTGTAACCCGCCAGGCACTTCTGTCCATGGGGCTTGTCCAGGCAAGAATACTGGAGTTGGTCGTCATGTCCTCCTCCAGGGTATTCTCCCAACCCAGCGATCAAACCCAGGTCTGCCGCATTGTGAGCAGATTCTTCACCAGCTGAGCCACCAGGGAACCACCCCCCCCCAAATGAATGAATGAATAGTAGACTTTGGCTACTTTCACGTATGTATTCAAACTGCTTTTATTCAGAGAAAGTGACTTTACAAACATACATACATCATGTCATGTATTAGGAGGTCCACTTTGTACCACCCGAGAATATATGCTTCCTAAGGTGGTAAATTTTTGGCTGCTTCTCAAACTGGACTCACTTGATCCTTTGGTCAAGTGGGCTAGAATGTCACAAATCTCCTGTCATCCCCAACATCTGTCCCTCATCTTACAACATAGACATGTTCTAAATTTAAATGTATACTGAGAATGGCAAAGGCATGTTTGTGAACAGGTAAAATATGTCCTTAAAAGGACCTCGGTCCTTAAAATAAAGTTGGCTCTTCTACTTTTTCATCTCTTTTCCATCCCTATGCTGAAAATCAACTTCATTTCATACAAATTAATGAAAACTGAAATGTTTGAACAGGAGGTTAATTACTAGCTACAATGAGCAAATGGGATAGACATAATAACAGCTTCGGAACTGCCAGGTAATTGCTGGCTAACAGAAAAGACAGTCTTTGAATTAAAATTTGGAACGGGGAGGAGTCAATTTTAATAGAACTTTGAGGTTTTAAAAATCCCTAGTAAATAATTCAACTGTCATCCTTATTTTATGGAAATTAACCCTAGCATCCAAAACAGCTGAGATATTCAGCACTGAATATCAGGCAGGAAGTGCTGACCAAGTCATTTGTTGAGCTAAGAAAGTGTTATATTAGCATATAAGCTATACCAAATATTTTAGACATTAACGATGTATTTATAATAAAATGTATTGTTCACTTCTCAATATATTAACAGATAGGTTATGTAAAACATGCAGACCTTGAAAATCTACTCAACTTTGATTTCTAATCCTGATTTTGCTACACTAATAGCAAAATAATGAGTCTCACTAAAAATGCATAATTTGTGAGGAAGTCCTTTGTATTCTCTCCGCTCCAATTTTTCCTAATTACAAGGCCAAGCTTTCCATTTACATTTTTTATAAAAATTGTGATCTTACAAGTTGAGTTTGTTTTTAATGCCATGAATCATTATTAGTTCAAATATTTAATGATTTTTTTTAAACCCAGAAAAGCCATAAGTATTGTGCAAGTTATATAAATATCTGAATTTATATGTGCACACATATTTTAAAAATGCATAAAGTTCACCTCAATTACTCTACAATTTAAGATCTCACCAGAGAACTGTAATGATTTAATACTGAATTCGAAGGCAGTACAATAAACTCATAAGCCACATATTGGTGCTCTTTGTCAAGTTTAACAAAGTGGATGGAGAAAGAAGAAAGATGGTAATATGTAATGATAATATTTCATATGCATTAAGGTTGGATTAGGCTGCAGCTATTCACTTGAGCAAACTCCAGGAGTTGGTGAAGGAAAGGGAAACCAGGCATGTTGCAGTCCATGGGGCTGAAAATGCTCGGACGACTAAGACACTGAACAGCAACAACCACAAAATTCACACGAGAAGGGGTGGGGGAAGATGGGTGTGAAATAATCAGAGGGTCTCATCTGGTTAAGAGTTCTTTTCTCTTTAAAAGGTATTTTTTGGACTAGAGACAGCTGAGAGGCACAAACCCCCTTAGTGGCCTCCTCCACTGGTCCTGACCAGATGTGTGAGTCAGGATGACCAATTTCAAAGACCTGCCTCTGCCGGGGGCCAGCGCTACCCTTTTCCCACTTGAGCTCCAGTCTCAGAGAAGAGGATCAAAATGATAGGCCCCAGGAACAAACATTGCACTGGCTCCTTCTGTTTTGGAAGAAAGGATGAGTATGAGGTTTCTGGTCACTTTCCTTGAGTAAATCACATCAAAAGGGACGTACAGAGCATCAGGTCACAGGAGGGCATGGAAGTGAAAATGAAAGGCACTCAGTCATGTCCAACTCTTTGCGTCCACTAGGCTCCTATGTCCATGGAATTCTCCAGGCAAGAATACTGAAGTGGGTAGCCATTCACTTCTCCAGGGGATCTTCCCAACCCAGGGCTCAACCCAAGGCTCAAACCGGGTCTCCAGCATTATAGGAAGATTCTCTGCCGTTTGAGCCTCTAGCTCCTGCCTCTTGGCAAGACCTGCTCCTGAGTCCCTAACAGAGTCCACCCCTGATGCCTTCAGAATCCCCAGAAGTCACAACAGTGTGGTCAGATTGTGGAAGCCTCCCCAGAAGACTTCCAAAAGCAGCACCAGATGAGAAGGGGGCAGTAAGGCTCTTTTCCTCACCAGATAGCAGCACCTTGCAAAACCAAGCATTTGGGGCCTACCTACATATGTTGCCACAATTTAAGTTATCAGAGCTCCTGTGTTGCTTTCATGCCCGAAGGCATAGGAATTCCAGGATGCAAAGGGATCACTGCTTCATTCATCATTCATCAATGAATGAAAGTGGGTAATAAACATATAGAAGTTAGTTTCACATTAAAATCCATTTCTACTTTCCTTGGGCATCCAGGACTGATTTGCAAGATGCCTCCGAACTGCATCTTAACACCTGACTCAACACCTGACTCAACAGCTTTCTTCCTCACTTCCTGTAGAATACTTTAATGTATACACAGATTACTGGGTGAACCCATTAATAAAGAATACTTAAGAAAAAATTGGGATAGGTGTAAGATTAGCAATTATTTTCATTCAAAACAAGAAGAAGGCAATAACTAAACAGTTCTTAAAATGACCATTTGAATGGTTTCCATAATCTGTTTTATGGATGGGAACTTAGGGATGGGAATTTAAAAATTAAAAACAGACAAAAACAGTAACATATATATAATGTGTGTATGCACAAGAACATTTTCAAAAAATAATAAAGGTAAAAATTCTTATACCTGGCTCGCTAGTTACCTCTGCAAATTCCAGGGCTCCCTAGTTTCCAAGGACCCCTCTTCCCTTCCTGCGTGGCCAAGGCCCCTTCTCCCTACCCTCACCTCTTACCCCCAAACTAGGCCCCCTGCTTCCACCTTACCTGGCCACGAACTCCGGACCCCGGACCTAAGGATTCCCTTCCCACGTGGCCAGGCCACCTGCCCAGTCCCTAGTTCACAGCCTTCCCGCTATTCCCCCTCAACGTCCCAGACCCCATCGCTGCCACTCGCGTTCCTTCCTCTTCCTGGGCCAGCTTTACGCTGGGGCTGCCGGAACCGTCGAGGAAGGTCTCTTTCCTGGGGACTGAGAGCACCACGTGCGACCATAAAACCCCGGGTCTCCTCTCCCGCCCTGCCGGGTTACATGCACCCGAACCCAGGTCGGCCAGGCGTGGCCTCCGGTACGCAAGGACCCAAAATGACCGAAGACACGCCGCCACCACGGACTAGGAGGCCGCGACTCCAACCAGAGGCCCGCTCGCTGCCACTGGGCCTCTCTCTGGGAGCAGGCTTAGGTGTGTGATCGGGGGAAGGGGAGTGAGCCGCGCTGTCTGTCCGGCGCGGTCAAGGCGCCGCGGCCTCAGCAGCCCCGAGAGCCCGCGTCGCCCTCCCGGGCCAAGGTTCTCAGGAGCGGGCCGCGGAAAAGACGTTAGCGGGAGGAGTTAGCGGCTGTTGGGGGGACCGGTTCAAGTAAAAACAGTCCCTTTCAAACCCCGGTCATTGCGGGGCGGGCCTTCTTCCTCCTTTACAGACACCTGTCACACGGGGGCCGTGGGCGCCCACCGCGGCCGCCCGCCCGGGCACGCCCGGGCACGGCCGCTTAGGAGGGGCCCAGGGCCGCCGCCAGTTGGCCCCACCCGGCCCTGAACGCCCAGGGGTCGCGGTGCGTCCTCTCGGAGCGTGTCGGGTGAGGAGGTCGCCATAGAGATGCGGCCGCGGAGCGCGCACGCCCCCCTGCGGTTGGCATGGAAACGGCCCCCGCGACGCCCGGGAGCTGCGCTGATTGGCCCATTCAACAGACGCGGGGGCCGGCGGGGGGGCGGGGGGAGTTGAAAGTAATTAGCAGCTCTGAGCTGGGCCGCAGACGCTGGGAGCCCGGCGCCCCGGCTAGAATCTATTAACACCTCCGTCCCCTTCAGCCCCGCCCCGCCCCCGCCCCCGCCCCCGCCCCGCCCCCTTCAGTGGACCCTTATTCCCATCCTCGTGTGCATTTGCTAATTGTTCGAGACTTATGTGTAAAGAGATAAGACTGAGAAGAGCGAGGTCCGCTGTGGGTTCCAAGCAGATTTGGGGCCTTCTGTCTTGTGGGAGAAAGGCCGCAGAAGAGCACTCTGCTTGTCACTTGAGAAGGGGACGTACTTTCCGACAGTGATGTATCCTGGGTCACTGGTTTGCAGGGAAGGGGGTGGTGGAGTGATGGATAAGCATCACAGCTAGGAAAGACACGGGCTTGTAGGTTTGGACTCCCCGCTAATGTGGGGGTTAGTGTCTTGGCTTGGAGGTTTGTCATATTCCCTTTCCAGCCATCAGCCAGGTATTGGAAGAAAGGCTTGGGAGATTCAAATCACCGTTTTGATTCAAAGTGGCTTTGATCACTTGCACTGTGGCTCAGGCCCTTTCAACCCTAATAACTGCAAGGAAGATCATGTGTCACAGGGCTCTGTCTTCTACAGAGTCTCAGCATCCTTGAATCCTTGGTGGAAGAGGCTGACTAACCGGCTTGTCTGTTTCTCCTTCCTTGACAGCAGTAAGCTGTGGAGACTGAGGCTATGCATCTCAGCAGCTCCAAGAGTGGAGTAGTGCTGGCTCCAGTGTCCGGAGGTCCTGATGCCTGTCAGATGATAACCAGAGGCCAGTTTGGCCAGGATCTGCCACAAAGAACAGTACTAGGAGTGCTCACTGAGAATGGGCAGTACAGGAGGACCTGTGGCCAGGTAATGCCTGAGAAGAGCTGGGAAGGCCCTCGTGTCTTGGTGGGAAGTGGGATCTCTTGAGATTTTCTGCACAAACTCCCCTTGAGTATTCAGCCCTGGAATCTGGCCTATAGGGGCACTGATTTTTTAAAAGAGCACTTTGTCAGGTCCCTTTTTCAGCTAGCAATATTGAATAATTTTCTTTGTTATTAGGAACTGTGTAAGTCAAGTATGTGTAAAGTCACTTAAAAGAAAGTGAAAGTGAAGTCGCTCAGTTGTGTCCGACTCTTTGTGACCCTGTGGACTGTAGCCTACCAGACTCCTCCATACATGGGATTCTCCAGGCAAGAATACTGGAGTGGGTGGCCATTTCCTTCTCCAGGGAATCTTCCCGACCCAGGGATTCAACCTGGGTCTCCCACATTGCAGGCAGATGCTTTACCCTCTGAGCCACCAGGAAAGCACTTAAGTTCTGGGCTAAAAGGAAATTGTGAATGCACCAAAATAAACTTGTTCAGTTGCTAAGTTGTGTCTGACTCTCTGCAACACCATGGACTGTAGCCTGCCAAGCTTCTTTATCCATGGAATTTCCTAGGCAAGAATACTGGAGTGGGTTTTGATTTCTTTCTCCAAAATAAACTTGTGGTACTGGTGTTTGTCTAGATCAGAATGGTATTCAGATTGACCTAGGCTGTGCCTGAAGCATCTCCGATAACCTTTAAGTTCATTGGTGATGGTGTTAGAATAAGGACTGAATCACAGTATACTAGATTACTTCCAAATGTGTGCTTTGAAAGGCAGCTTCTCCTCAGGATCATGGACAGTTGGGCAAAAGATTGTGGGCCATCTGATGTCCAGTTGCTTGTGCTTAATTAATCATAGGTACCTCCCTTAACAGAATGTAAACAGAGGGTAAATAAATTCAACACTTAAAATGCAAATAAGGAGTTTGGATCCTTAAGAATTAATTTTGAGATTAAAAAAACAAAAAAGCTTCCTCAAGTCTGTTATTACACCAGCTTCTCATAAGCTTGTATATCTATAGCGGAAGGACATTGGCAGTAGTCTAGTGGAGTAGGTGGGCAGGTATCCTTTCCATTTTATAGGTGAGAAAAATTGAGAGGTTTGAGAAAGCCTTCCCACCCAAATAAAAGTCATGATGGAGGCCAGATCAGAAGCTTCTCCTCATCTACTGACTACTCCTACTCCTCTTCTACACAATGACACAAGTCATTTGTGTTTTGGTGGCATCTGGTTAGTGGGAGAAAATTACCCAAAGTAATCTGTTTCAAGCTTTGGAAAAAACGGAGGAAAGGTGGTTTTAACAAACAATTTGCTTAGCGACGTGGTGTACTTCTTTAAACATGAAGTCTAACACAGTGGGGGAAGGAAAGAGTGGGATGAATAGAAAGAGTAGCACTGAAACATGTACATTACCATATGTAAAATAGAGAGCTGGTGGGAATTCACTGTATGACGCAGGGAGCTCAAACTCAGTACACTGTGACAATCTAGCGGGGTGGGATGAGGTGGGAGGTAGGAGGGAGGGGACATATGTATGCCCGTGGCTGATTCATGTTGATGTATGGCAGGAACCAACACAAATTGGAAAGCAAATATCCTCCAATTAAAAATAAATAAATAATTAAAACACAAAGTCTAAAACCTCTCATGAATCGGCAGTTAGCCCTGTGTTTAGTGGTTTCACTTTAAATTCAGAACTGTTAGTTAACCTCTGTGTTGCTTGGTACTACCTCTACATTTCCTGGTTCTATTCCTCTACAACTGTCTTATAGAAATCTTTTATTTTATACTTTCCCTTCTCTCTTTATCCTCCAAAGCCTCTATCTCCGTCCGGCCTCTCAGCTTATAACTTTATATCCTATTTTCCTAAAAATATAGATGCAACTGTAAGAATTTCCACATGCCCCCATGTGTCATATACCCGCTGCCCTCCTCCTGCTACGTGACCTATGTGTTCCTGCTCTTGTGCAAGGTGCACCCCCATGTGCGAGGCACACCTGATGCCCTCTTGCCTCTTCAAGGATATCATTCCATCACCTCTTCTTTCTCTTCTTAGTTTTCTCTTCTCTACTGGGTCAAACCCAAGTGCAAATATATTGTGATTTTTTTTTTTCCAATCTTAAAAACCTTTCAACTACAAAGTCTTTACAGCAACTGTCCCATTTATGGCAGTATTTCTTGAGAATTTTTCTACTATAAACTCTATCAGGATGAGGATTTGAGATGTCAGGTTTTCTGCTGTACTCCCAGTGTTTAGAAAAACCATGCCTGGCCAAGGTAGCATGCAAGTATTTGTTAGACAATACTCTATCTCGATTTCTTCTTTTGTTCTCTCTGGCTCCATTCTTATTTAAAGTTGTAAATATTTGTTTAAAAATTATTATCTATTTGGCTGCAATGGGTCTTAGTTGCAGCATGCAGGTTCTTCAGTTACAGCATGCAAACTCTTAGCTGAGGCATGCAGGATCTAGTTTCCTGACCAGGGATTGAATCCAGGTCCCCTGCATTGGGAGTGCAGAGTCTTAGCCACTGGACCACCTGGGAAGTCCCTCTCTTTTACTCAGTTCGTAATGCTTTCCTTACCTGTCTGAAAGGCACCGTTTGACATTGTTGGTCATTCTCTCTTCCTTAAAGTAGTTTCTTCTGACTTAGCCCAGAGAACATAGCTCTCTTCTGGTTTCTCATCTCCCTCACTGGTCACACCTCATTATCTTGGTTCTTCTTCATCCACTCTCTGAAAGTTAGAGTGTGCTAAAGCTTAGTATTTGATCTGAATTGGCACTCACTCCCTTCACAATCTGTTCAAGTTTCCTGGCAACAAATACCATCTTTCTGTTGATGATTCCTTTTTCTATCTCTGGTCTGGAACTCTCAGCTAAGTTTCAGGCTCAAGTTAGCTATCTACTTGACATCTCCACTGGGATCATGCAGTAGGCATCTCAGACTTAGGTGAAACCAAACACTGACTCCAGCCCCAAGCTGCTCTTCCCAAAGTCTTCCTCATTTCAGTAAGTAGAATATCCATTCTTCTCATTATTTAACCCCAAAACGTTGTCATCCTTGGCTCTTCTTTTTCTCCCACCCCACATCTAATTTGCTGAGAAAATGCTGTTGATTGTACTTTTAAAAATGTCTAGAATTTCATTTCTCTTTCTCATTATGTCATATAAGAGTGTTCCATAGCTTGTAAGAGAATTAACTCTTAGTACACATTTCTAAAAGCATAGTGTTTCTGAATAACTGTGTATAAATGGGAACTTTCCAGGAGCCTGTTGACTAAAAGTTGACTTTAAGGAGGATTCTGTAACTATGTTTCAAGAACCTTGCTGGGTTGTTATAAAAACCTGGCATGCTACAAGCACAAAAGCTGATTTACAGTTCCCCCCCCCCCCCCGCCCCCCAATATGTGGTACCTAGTTCACTTTGGAGGAGTTTTTCTTTTTTTCTATAATTTTGCATTCCTTTGATAAATACGTGAGGAAGATGACAAATTTTAGGTTAGCTTCTTCCCCAGATGTCACATATAGACAAAGATAAGGGCAAAGTAATCCTTTGGAAGCTTCAGGTTCTGAAATTCAATTGCAGACATAGATATTTCAAATTCAGATTCCTCTCATCTTTCCAGCCTGCTGGTGTGAGTCACATGGGTTCTTAGCACCTATGCGGGCTCTGGGGTAAGCCTCTAACACAAAAATTCATCCTTTTCTAGGGGCTCACCACACTCAGGTGTTTCTCTGGCTCAGAAAATGTCTTCTCTTCAGCTGGAAAGAAAGCGTTGTCTGACAGCAGGGTCCAGGCACCTGCCAAGCAAGGATTTGACATCTACATGGATGAGCCTGAGCAGGGGACCAGAGATAGCTGCCCAGGGCGAAAGGGGATGGCATTAGAGGATGCGTATGACGTAGACACCAGTGCACTCAAGTCAGACCTTCACTTCCTGTTGGATTTTAACACAGGTAATGGGACTCACCCGTGGCTGACAGCACCCTGTCTTTGTCACCGCCTGCAGTGTTCAGTAGCATAGGACTAGCAAGAGAACTCCCTGGAGTAGTAACTGTTTTCCCAGCTGCCTGTAGAGGGTTAGTGGATGGAACTAGTTCTGAAATGAAATGTCTTACCTGATAATGTTGAACCCCCTGCAGTTTCCCCTATGCTGGTAGATTCATCTCTCCACTCCCAGTCTGAAGATGCATCAGATTTTGGTACAGATGTGATAAATGTGACTGAATATGCTGAGGAAATTCATCAGTACCTTAGAGAAGCTGAAGTGAGTTTTCCCAACTTCTCCTTCAATTTCCAGCACCCCAAGCACTCTGTATTAAGATAGTTATGTGCTCTTGGCCATGACCACTAGCAAATGGCATTCTTGTGACATCTAAACTAGAGAACGTTTATGAAAAATAATAGCTGGGTACGGTGACTAGCAGTTACTTGGACTATTTCTCTATGTCTCAGAAGGGTTTTTATATTAAGTATTTCACTCTTGGGAAGAACCATTATTGCCATCTCCCCCCTCCTTGAAGTTACTCATTAACTAAATTGCATCACAGAGCCAGAATTGCACACTTGTTCCATATCATGATGTACAGATTCCTCTGGCGTTTGACTGAGTTTCCTGCTAACCTTTGCCCATGAGCTTTTTAAAAATACCAGCTGTACTGTGGAGTGATCCTTCTAAGATAACAGGTATTTAAACATCAAAAAAACTCTCTCCCCAAACAGATAAGACACAGGCCCAAGGCACACTACATGAGGAAACAGCCAGACATCACAGAAAGCATGCGGACCATTCTGGTGGACTGGCTGGTTGAGGTCGGAGAAGAATACAAGCTCCGGGCAGAGACCCTCTACCTGGCTGTCAACTTCCTGGACAGGTTTCTTTCCTGCATGTCTGTTCTTAGAGGGAAACTGCAGCTTGTAGGAACAGCAGCTATTCTCCTGGCTTCGTAAGTCCTTCAGCTCAAATAACATGAAATGTCAGCCTGTCTAAACACTTGATTTCTGTTCCCATTTATTGGAGAAATACAGTGCTTGATAATTAAAACTTGCACATGCCTCCTTTGATAAAATATCATTATTTTTACAGTGTTTACTGAGAAACTGAATCTCACCACATGTTCACTCTTCAATTTGGATGTTTAAGATCCTCTTAACTACAAGTTCAGGAGAAGGCAATGGCAACCCACTCCAGTACTCTTGCCTGGAAAATCCCATGGATGGAGGAGCCTGCTAGGCTGCAGTCCATGGGGTCGCTAAGAGTCAGACACGACTTAGCAACTTCACTTTCACTTTTCACTTTCATGCACTAGAGAAGGAAATGGCAACCCACTCCAGTGTTCTTGCCTGGAGAATCCCAGGGACGGGGGAGCCTGGTGGGCTGTCGCCTATGAGGTCGCACAGAGTCGGACACGACTGAAGCGACAGCAGCAGCAGCAACGACAAGTTCAGTATCATGACTAAGGCAACCATCAGCTCAAATTCAGAATCTAGTTTAATTATTTTGTAGTATAGTCTTTTGGCTGTATTCTACTGTAAGTAAAAGCCCTATTTAAAGAAATTTGGGTTTATGAAAGCCTTCTCCAGGCTCTAGTAAGTGACTCATAATAACCCAGTTTATTTGGTTACAGTGAATAAACTATTTTAGCTAATTCCTGTTACTATCAGTCATTCATAACAATATCTGTTTGTGTAGAAAAGGTCTGGGTTGTGGCTAAAAGTGAAAGTGTTAGTTGTGTCCAACTCTTTGCGACCCCAAGCACTGTGGCCCACCAGGCTCCTCTGTCCACGGGATCCTCAGGCAAGAACACTGAAGTGGGTAGCCATTCCCTTCTCCAGGGGGTCTTCCTAACCCAGGGATCGAATCTGGGTCTCCTGCATTGAAAGCAGATTGTCTACCATCTGAGCCAACAGGGAAGCCTTATTTGTGTAGAAAAGTGCTGCGGTTGTGGCTAAGCTTCTTTTAAATAAGTGACCAGATGGTGAATAGTAGTTTCCTTTCTATTCTTCTGGTCTCAGACTTTATACTTATTAACTACTATAACTTTGCAAAAATTTCCCTGTGGAAAGGAGAAACAAAAGCAAAAGCAAAGAATTGATACCAGTGAAATCATTCTCTCTCTCTCATTTAGATAGCATCTTTTGCTAATTCAATAGAAAAAGCTGAGTACAATCTTTAAAAAAAAAAAAATCTAAGGCTTAAGGAGGTGTTTTTTTTTTCTATCATCATGTTCAACATAAAATTCTTTTCCACGTAATGAAGTTTGTAGAATTAAGAGGAATTTACCCGCATGTCTGTCATTCATAATCTTCCAGCTTATCAGATGCCAAAACCTAAAATCCCTAGTTGAAAATTGTCTCTTTACTACTCATAGCAGTAAGTATGACATATCCTTGTCATACTCATGCTCTTTATGGAAACAAGCATCTGTCTTTTTTCACACCTGTACCATTTCATGATTCATAAGTGATACTTAAGTCTACAAGGGCCACGTGACAAGCCTGGTTGGGGTAGAACAAGAAAGAGAGTCAAAGGGTCCAGGCTTTACTTTCCCAAGCTCTTTCCCTTTTGTAGGAAATATGAAGAAATATATCCGCCCGAGGTAGACGAGTTTGTCTACATAACTGATGACACCTACACAAAACGGCAACTGCTGAAAATGGAACACCTGCTCCTGAAGGTCCTGACGTTTGATCTGACAGTGCCAACCACCAACCAGTTCCTCCTCCAGTACTTGAGGAGGCAAGGAGTGTGCATCAGGACTGAGAACCTGGCCAAGGTAGGCCACGTGACTTCTGAGAACCTCAGTGCCGACGGGATAAAAAAAAGTAGCCTCCTTCAGTTCTTCCTTCCTTTTCAGTTCTTTGCCTTGGGTCCAGAAAAGCTTTTTAGCAATTGGAAGAGAACTAATTTGAAGAACATGACTTCTGCTTACGAGATGTTTCCATTAATCATGTTTGGCAGATGTGGGTTGTCTAATCACCCACAGGTCTTAGAAAAAAAAAAATGTAAGCTTGGAAACTATTCTCTTGCTGTATACAGACCATAGGCAAGCAGTACCTCTTTGGTTTACAGAAAGGAAACAAGATAAATATGGTTTGATTTGACTCTAATCTCATTCTAACATGTTAAGTAAGGAAGCACTATTTGGTCATTTTGGAGTCCTAGAACTTTAGTTAGAGTCACTATAGTATTGTTTTGGAAAACCTGGTTCCCATCCACTATGATCTAATATATCTGGTATTTATATGTTATGCAAAGAGCAATAAGAACATCTCTCTAAATTTCCCAGTATGTTTCTTTTAATCTGATAAGTCCCCCCTGGTACTGTTCTAGCCAATGAACTGCATGCATTTGCCTGATAAATTTTTAATTGATTTTTTACTGAAATATACTTCATTTACAATGCTGTATTAGTTTCTGTTGTATAGAAAAGTGAGTCGGTTATACACATATGTATATCTACCCTTTTTTAGATTCTATTCCCATGTAGGTCATTATAGAGTATTGAGTTTAGTTCCCTGTGCTCCCTCACAGCTCAGTTGGTAAAGAATCTGCCTGATTTGCTGGAGATGGGATAGGCTACCCACTCCAGTATTCTTGGGCTTCCCTTGTGGCTCAGCTGATTTAAGAATCCGCCTGCAATGCGGGTGACCTGGGTTCGATCCCTGGGTTGGGAAGATCCCCTGGAGAAGGGAAAGGCTACACACTCCAGTATTCTGGCCTGGAGAATTCCATGGACTGCATAGTCCATGGGGTCACAGAGTCAGACACAACTGAGCGACTTTCACTTTCACTTCCCTGTGTTCTACCGTAGGTTATTAAATATCTATTTTATATATGGTAGTGTGCATATGTCCATCCCAGTCTCCCAGTTTATCCCTCCCCACCCAACCTGATAAATTAATAGCTATAATATGGACATATTTTTGCCTTTCACTGAAGACTCCAGTCTATTCCAGTGGCTAAAGGAATGCTATTTGACCAGCATAAACCTGCACTACTAGTATAGGTAACCTACCACATACACTGTACAGATAGGCCAAATATTGATCCTTGCCTATACAATACTGAAATTTACTTGTAATTAAATGTATTAAAACATAGATATTATTCTGGTTATGGACAGGCATGGTGATTACTGACTCAGTGAATACTTTTGAGCATCTATTTCTGTGCTTATCACTAGATACACATTGAAAAGAAATGACAGTTTGTTCCCTTGACATTTCTAGGTTTACTTGGAACCTTAGCCAGATTCCTAATTCCAATGAGACTTTCTCTCTTGTGCTTAGTACGTAGCAGAACTGAGTCTCCTTGAAGCTGACCCGTTCTTGAAATACCTTCCTTCACTGATAGCTGCAGCTGCTTATTGCCTGGCAAACTATACTGTGAACAGGCACTTCTGGGTAAGATTCTAACTGATTGTTTCTAGATGATGCTTAGGCTTCCCAGGAGGCTCAGTGATAAAGAATCCTGCAGCATAGGAAATGTGGGTTCAATCGCTGGGTTGGAAAGATCCCCTGGAGAAGGAAATAGCAACCCATTCCAATATTATTGCCTGGGAAATGCCATGGACAGAGGAGCCTGGCAGGCTACAATCCATGGGGTTGCAAAAGAGACTTAGTGATTAAACAACAACAAGATGATCCTTAAGGCCTGTCTAAAGTCTATTTAGTAACTCAAGGCTTAAAACTGGTGGGCCTGTTAGGAGGAAGAGTTAGTTTTATAGGGAACTAGTTGCCTAACCCCCCAGATTACAACATGTAGCTAGTCAGTGTTCATGGCTTAGACTCTGGCTTAGCTCACTGGGGTGCAGAGGGTGCAGGAAGTCAAGGAGATGGTGGTGCCACACTCGTTCAGTGGGAGCTGGCCTGGAAACCCCAGTGCCTACCCTTATGTGGGGAGTGCCCTTGTAGCGTAAGCACTGACCACTTCAAGACAAAGGGTTGACTCTTCCCCTCCATGTAAAAGAACCTCAGTCCAGTTAGGATGGTCAGAGGTTGTATGAGGCTTTCAAGGGAACAGGGAATTATTGTTGCTTCTTGGCTCATGATAGCTGGCATGATTAGAGATGGGCCCCTAAGATTTGGTTCTGAAGGCTCACTCTTGTGCTAAGAGAGCAGGGCATCTACTTTTATTTTCGAAAATTCTTATTTCTTATTCTGCATTTGGCTAAGAATCTTTCCATATTCTATTTAAATAGAGTGTTCAAGTAAGTTGAGGCTCTTCAGGGGCCGATAAAAATCCTGCTCATAAGAGAATAAACTTCCCCTAAATTAGGCATTTATAATTGTACCATATGAGCAAATTTAGAACTCTGATTGTTCTTCCTAATGTCTTATTCCTAAAGGCTCTGAATAAGGATTATGGTTTCTTTTGAGATGAACATGGATACTTACTAAGTATACCTATTAATTCCCTTCAGTTCACAGTTTTATCTTCAGATTTCTGATATCATATATTAAGATCTTCAAGCTCTCTGATACAGATTTCTTCTTTTGTCTTGATTAGCCAGAAACCCTTGCCACGTTTACAGGCTATTCATTAAGTGAAATCGTGCCTTGCCTGAGTGAGCTACATAAAACGTGCCTCAGTATACCCCATCGACCTCAGCAAGCAATCAGGGAGAAGTACAAGGCTTCAAAGTAAGTTCCCAAAATTCTCTTATCTAGGCTCACTACTTAAAACTTGAGTAAGTGATAGTAATTTCAGAATTAAAAAATAGAACAAATTGTATATGGTGCTGGGCTGAAGAGTAGGGTCGCATGTCAAACCGAGAAAATCAGTTTGGCAGGGCCTAGATTTATAATTTGTCACCTTGTAGAGTAGCAGGTGGCTCAGTAAAGAATCTGCCTGCAGTGCAGGAGACCGGGGTTCAATCCCTGGATTGGGAAGATCCCCTGGAGAAGGGAATGGCTACCTACTCCAGTATTCTTGCCTAGAAAACCCCATGGACAGAGGAGCCTGGCGGGCTACAGTCCATGAGGTCGCAAAGAGTCAGACACAACTGAGCAACTAACACTCTCCAGAGTACATCTAGTCAGTCAGCTCGTTCCTTTCTGTTAAAACTACCAGACGGTTTTCTGGGGCCTACGTGAGATTTTATGAAACCAAAGTCCTCGGCTCACGCTGAACTTGCCATGGGTCTTGTTTCAGGTACATGCACGTGTCTCTCATGGAGCCACCCACTGTCCTTCCTCTGCAATGAGTTTCAGAACCGAAGCGCCTTCAGGATTTAACCTCCTGATCAACAGACTCGGTTGTGATTTTTACAGGTTTTCTGCAGGTTGCGTCAAACTAGTGTTGCTGCGATATAGGTGACATACTTTTTAGAATGTAAGTGTATTTAGGTTCTCTTAGACATAGTAGCTTGTAATATAGTCTAGTACTTTCTAAAGAATAAACCTGCCTTCTGACCATGTGTTAGACTTCATTTACTGCTGACTATGGCTGACACGCTTGCCTGGAATTTTAGTTGAGAGTATTACAAATGTTATTTCTATTTTAAGAGTGCTTCTACATTGGTTTTATAAATCTGGTATGCTGTTAGGATTAAGTGTTCTGAGGAATCCAGAGATTTTCATGTTTGGTAAATCGCTACCCTGAGACGTTTTTCTTCCTATCTTTTTACTCCTCATGTAGCTCTCCACAAACTGGCAAGGGTGAATGCCAAGCCTAGACGGATTAGTGAAGGGACGTAAGCAAGCATGATCTATTCTGGTGTCCCTGTTAGGCCCTGGCGGGTAAAGACAGTGGATTGAAGAATAAATGTTATCAGGTACCTCAGAGGGGTGATTTACCTAACTTAATTCTAACTGAGGGTTATGATGCTTATTTTGTAAAGGACTTTTATTTCAATGTCTAGTTTTGATTTAGTCACTCATCAAGCATATATTCAGCTTTAGAAGATGTTCAGAGAGGTAGAAGAAGAAAATTTTACCATACAATGGGATCTCATAATAATTAAGCTAATCCCGGGCTTCCCTGGTGGCCCAGTGGTTAAGCATCTGCCTGCCAGTGCAAGGGATACAGGTTCAATCCATGGTCCAGGAAGATTTCACATGCCTCGGAGCAACTCAGCCCGTGTGCCACAACTACTGAACCTGCGCTCTAGAGCACACGAGCTGCAACTACTGAAGCCCGTGCGGCCTAGAGCCCATTCTTCACAACAAGAGAAGCCACTGAAGTGAGAAGCCTGCACACTGCAACGAAGAGTAGTCTCCACCCGCCACAACTAGAGAAAAGCCCGCACAGCAAGGCAGATTCAGCACAGCCAGAAATAAGTAAATAAAAATTTTTTTAAAAATTAAGCTAATTCCTCATGTTCATCCTTGGAAGATATCCATGCTAAATACAGCTGAAACTCAAATTATTCAAGATCCTACAGTTAACTCACTACACATTCGTACATGGTCCCTTTCAGCACATGTATAGTATATGGGATGTGGAAAACTGGAGCAAAAATGCACTCGTTTTAACTTTCTTTTAAAGATTGGAAGGAAAATCAAGAGTAGACTTGGCCTTGAGGGAGAGTGGTGCTTATTGGGGATTGCATAGAAATGTTGCTAATCTCCAGCTTAGTAGCCCCGGGCCAGCAGGCCTGGAGGTCCAGGAACCTCTGGCTGTGTTCTGCCTCCAGGCCTGCCCAGGGGCTCAGCCCACACAACTCAGCAGAAATGAGAACAACAGATTTCCTTTACACAGAAAATATCAGACCCAGGTGGAAAAATGGGAGTAGATGATATTAACTCCAAATCTAATGTTTGTTCCAAGCAAGTAGGAAATGGCAACCCACTTCAGTATCCTTGCCTGGAAAATTCTGTGGACAAAAGAGCCTGGCAGGCTAAAGTCCACGGGGTCACAGAGTCGGACACAACAGCACACACGCATGCACCCTAATGGAATTATAAGTATAAAAATACAGCCATATTTGACATGTTTTGTGAAGCCTTTTTTTATTTTTGAAAATTTCCACAAGCCCTTAAAAGAGTCTGGCGTAGCCTTTTTTTTTTTCCTGCAGATAAATATTCTCAAAGTGTCTCCATTTCTGATTCCATTGAAGAAATCAACATTTCTCTAAATGGTTTTGTGGTTTATGGCATAAGTTTCACAAAAGGGATTTAGGACCTGTATCAGTACTAGATTCTCTGTTTTTCTATGCTATTTTGCAAAAGAGGCTTTTGTTTCTAAAGTTGGATCTGACATTTGACCTTGACTTTAGGTCACAAAACCATGTTGCAGGCCATAGAAGTCCGAACCCACAACTCTCGTGTTCCTGGGGGCCGGCGGTTTGTACACAACCCATTCCCACCCTGCAACACACACACTGACAGATTGCAAAGAGGTGGTCTCCAACTTGACTTCCCTTTCTTATTACTTTTTTGTGTCCCTGAAATACTTTATTAAAAATATACAAATATGACTGTCACCTCTGTACCTCCCACCCAGCTAAAGAGAGAGCAACAACCTGTGGTATGTGTCCCTCCATCCCACTCTTTGTCTTCCCTAAATTCGGTGTTGACCATGGTTTTTATATTTCACAGAACATGTCCATAAACAATAATGCTTGTTTTTAAAATTTCCTGAATATTGACTATCTTTCAGATTCTTCAGTGATACATGTTTTAGGCAGCATTAAATTTTGAGATGATCTGTGTGGACAACTAGGATTCTGGTTATACTGTTATATAGTTTTAAGTAAACATACATATCTGTTCTCATATCTGTTCTCTTGATTTTTCCCCATCTTTCTGTTTGACCCACTCCTACCCACTGCCCGTCAGCCAGTAAAGGAAGGTGGTCTAGGCAGGACTGTGGATCTGGGAGGGCCACCACTGTTTGCCTCTGTGGGCTTTTTGAAAGCCTGTGGTTTCAGACAGACTCTGGCTTTTCTGAAGACTCATAGAGACGGCTGTGAATCAAGGGGCCCTTTTTGAAATGGGCCATGAGAAAGGACTAAAGGAGCAACATTTGCCTGCACATTATCAGGACCCCAAGAGAGAAGCTCAGGTCACCCAAATGGTTCCGTTGTCTCCTAAGTTCTCACCACCAGAATGAAAACGCGTAAATCTAATGTACCACTCAAACCTTGAAATTGAAGCCCGCACTACTTACGTGAGAGTGTCCTCGCCTTTCTGATCCTTGTGTCCAGATTGGTCGGGGGGGGTGGTGGTGGGAAGTGGGGGGGTCGGGCAGATGGGACACTCTCCTCAGCGCTCCTGGCCATGACCCCATTTATTATAGCATCCCGGCTCCAGGGCAAGGCCCAGTGCGTAAAACCTAATGTCCCCATTACTCCGGGAAGATCTTCCCTGCAGTCTCACAGGATTTGTGTGACCTTGCTTTAGGCAGCAAGCTAACTGTTGACTTCTAAAATGTCTTTTATTAGCAATTGATGGTATTCTTAAAAAAACAGAATGGCCAACGGTCAATTAGCTAGAGTAACGATGAGGAAGGGCAGGGGAAACGCGCAGGGAGAGGGGATGTGGGAAGGAGGTCATGGGAAATCAGATCAGTTAAAATGAGTCAAAAAAGGATCTGCAAATGGAAGTTTCCACCCGGAGGTGAAGTTTTCTGAGGCAGGTAAGTTGAGAGACTGTGCCCACAGTCCTATTCACCTATTCCAGGACAGGTGTTCACCCAGGCTACCTGTGCTCACTGCCCCTTCATCCACCAAGTATGTGTGTGTGTGTGTGTGTGTGTGTGGGTGGGTGGGTGGGTGGGTGTGTGTTACCCCTTGGGAAACACCAGCTTCAATGATCTGAGATTCTGCCCAACTCTGTAGAAAGTTTGTAATGCATGAAAAAGTAAATGCCAACAAAAATTCACTTTATTTTTTATGTATCTTAAACTTGAGGGTGCTTGGCCAGAAAGTTTGAAGGTTAGTTGTGAACTGAATTCTCTACTGAGAATGGCAGACTCTTAGGATGATGAAGAACCACTAGCCGGGAGTAATATGTATTTAGGTCTTCAAAATAATGGGATGGTATCTCATTTCAGCCTCATTTCTCCTCTTTTCCTCCCCTGCAAATGAGAGCCAGTGAAGTGGGAAGATTGACCGCCTCTGTTTGGAGTGCACAATTCAGTGTGGCAGTTCTGACACTGAGGGCAAGAGAAGGGCTGGGAAAGGTGCATAACATTGAGATGATGTGTCAAACTAGGACGTCTTCTAGAAATAAAACATAATAGGGGTTATTTCCCCAACGCCTGAATCCCTCCCTCCTCATGCTGTCTCTGCCTTGGCTCAGCCCCCATCATTTCTCATGCACACCCATCACTGTAGCAACCTCCTCATGGCACTTCAGTTTCTTTTTGCCTGCTTCCAGGGCTTTCTGAAATGAAGTTGATGGCATCTCTTTCCTGCATCTGATTCTTTAGTGCTGCATCACCACTGGGATAAAATGGCGAGGGGGGCAGGGGGGGTGCAGGCTCTTGAATGAGCCAGGCCCTGCCTACCTGGAAGGAAGAGCCTCTGCTTTGTAACCCCTGCCTTGTCCCTTCTAGTTCCCCACTGGCCCTTGTTCCCCTTCCCTCGACTCACTCGCAAACACTCATCTGTCTCTCTAAACACTTCCCACTTGACTGCACCGCTTGGCAAACTCCAACGTGATTCTTCAGATCTAGCCTTTGGCCTCACCTCCCTGTCAGCCCCAGGGTAGGTGCCTCTCACTCCCACTGGCTGCTGCTTGTCTGTCTCCCCTCTTTTCATCCCTGTCCTCCTAGCATCTGGCTTCATCCTAGAGATTCTATCATATTTTGTTATGACTGAATGAATGGGTAATATTTTTTACAATCACCAGCCCTCAGTTTAGTCAAATCTAAAGTGATATTTCAGGGAATATACAAAGCATAAAGCTTTTCAAAGTATATTTGGATAAAATGAGTTTAAAATGAAAAATCACAATCAGTGGTGAGAGTAAATGGTATACACATATTGTAAAAAGTTCATTCTCTTTGTCATTCTTACATTCATTTTAGTGTAAGAAACTGGATGATAAAGGAAAACTTTCATTATGGGTATATCTTAGATGAGAATGGGGAACACAGTGGCTTTTTTTGAGAAGTACATCCAGGGCTCTGCTGTCTTCACATATTCCTCTATCTGCCTTAGAGGATTCACAGGGAAGTCTCCTGGACAGTCTCCTGAACACTTACCACTGTACCACAGTGGGAGTCTCCTCATATGCAACCCTCCTTCCCCTTCTCTCC